TATATATTAACACAGTGCATAGTAGGATATTTTATGGACCTTTTAGTGTATCAAGAATATAACATTTTCTAACGGTACAAATGACAAAAAAAATTGCATTGAAATATTCTGAATATTAAACATTTTCATGACTGGCTTAAGGAAATCTTTAAGAAACTGCAATATTATGCAGGCAGCAAAAAAATAAGACTCTGAATGGCAAGTTAAATTAAGTTAAGTTAAGTATATGGCTGCACTAGTTTATAGATTATGTATTTGTAATGAGCAGATGGTTGTATAACTTGTATTGCAATCAGAGCATTCATTATACCAGTTGATAGATTTCCTGTGAAACAAACCCATGACCTTGATGTTACTGGTGCTATGCTCTACTGTTTGAGCTACAAGAACACTATAGAGTTATGGTCAGAAGGTGGTTGTATACTTCAGAGAGGTCATGTGCCAGCAAGCAATTCCCATATGTATGATAACAAAACTTGTTTCGCAAACATTTGCAGAGATATCCGTGTAAAACACTCTTCAAATGATTTTCTCTGTTGATAAGCGCACATGCAAATTCAACCATTAGCAATATTCTGCTATTTGGTCACTAAGAGAATTCTTTGCTGCTAATGGAACATCTGCACAGCTATCAGTAGCATTGCCATTGGGTTTCCTGATACATCATCCATTAGCCATGGAACCCATTTATGGTTGGAAGTTGGATATATTGGGCAAAGGTAGATTGGCTGAGAAAATCATTTAGGAATATCTTCGTTATGTGAACAAATATTAATAAATGTGAAAACAGCAATGACATTACATGCCCAAAGTTTTGCAGGAGACTTTCAGAATCAACCATTTCTGAAGGTCACTGTATATGATGAAGACAAAGTGTTTCACAGATATACATCATCAGTGTTTATAAACTTGCATAATTATTTGTTTCATACATGGCCTAGTTGCTTGAGAGGTGTTTTCCCCCCAAATTCAGAAACGTAGATTTCAAAATTATTTACAGTGGGTACGGAAAGTATTCAGACCCCCTTCAATTTTTCACTCTTTGTTATATTGCAGCCATTTGCTAAAATCATTTAAGTTAATTTTTTTTCCTCATTTTCCGTACCCACTGTACATGATATTTACATTGGCCATTCTATATTGTGAATATAGTCAGAAAGAAATGGTATTACACACTAGGATTTAAAGGACAATTTAGAGGGAAAAAAAGAATTAATAAATTATAATTAATTTACTGCCTTAGAGTGAATAAGTAATCATGTAATCCACGTAATCCAGATTGCACGTAATCAGTTTCTGCTCAGCACTGCTTGCCGTCTCTTCTTTGAAATCTGCAGATATGATCAAATTTACCTAATATATCTACAATTAAAACACATTTTTACCTATGAAACTTAACTTGAATAATTCTGGTTTTATGTTAACTCGAAGTCTCCCACCCTATATAGCTTTAAAATGAGTCGCTAGGATTCACCACTATGGGTCACATATACACCATAAACAATAAAATTACTTCCTTGAAATGAACATCGCATGGACCCTTTGTTAATGGAAGAAAATGTGGAAGGGCCCTTCAGTTAGACACCTTGTGCAAGTGCATAAATGAAATATACAGCTGAATGTGCCAAAGCTTTCTTTACTGAGATAAAGACAAGACAGAGGCGATTGTTTTGGCAACACAGAAGAAATATAAAAGGTAAATGCACCTTGGTTAAGTCAAGAATCTTGATATCATTCTGGAATCTGATCTTAGCTGATCTGAGTCACGTAACAGCAATAATTAAAAATCAGTCTATACTACCATCTGAAAAACAGCACAAATTAGATCCTTTGTGTCCAAGCATGACCCAAATATGATTTTTCATGCATTCACCACCAGTAATAATGGACTTCTTACTGCCCGTCCCAAAAATACTATTAGACAGTTTGAGCTCATGTTGTCATGACTTGCAAATGTCACAAAAACGCATTATGTCCAAACTGTAATGTACATCTGGTAATTCTACGAACATTCACATATTATGCAAAAAAATGCATACTATAAACTGCAGTCAAGTGGTGCTAAGAAAAATGTAATATTGCAAGTGAAGTGTCTGCTGTCTTAGACTTCTTATTGCTTTATGACTTCTCAATTCGGTGGTCTCTAACTATTTTAAAATAGCTAGTAGCATATATGGCTCATTGGCAAAAGGATGTAACTTTCAACCACCGAGGTTTAATATATAGTTAGTTCTTTCTTTAAGGTAATGAATTTCACAGATTTATATGTTGACTTGTAAAATTTTATTTTCTTATTCTAATCACATTTTAAGCACAAATATTGCAGTGTCTACTAATAGCTTGATAATTAGGCAGGCCTTTGTTTGGTGAGCAAGCAGAAAGGCACAAGATCACTCTCACAATTTTTTTTTAATTCACTGGCTGAGTTAAATTACATTCCCAGCCCTACCCAGACAGCAGAGTCAAGAAATGACTAAAAGCACATATTTTTCAAATCCTTTATGCTTTCACTGTCTTTTTTTACAGTCTATGCTTCTAGCCTGTACTCATTTAAACACAGTCTGAAACTTATTAGCACTTCTCATGTCATTGCCACTTTAGGATGAAGTGCTTTGTTGTATCTGTTATTTGTCGCTTTGGATGAAACCATCTGTTAAATTAATAAATGTAAATATATGTGAATTTAGAGGACTTTGATACATCAGTATAACTTTTTAACCTTGTAACGTTCTTTAAACATTCCTCAAAAGCCTAATGTATCATATTTGATACTTACATATTGTCATGATTTTTTTCCAAAAAAAAAAGGATAATCAAGTTGCTTCAGTATAGTACATGTTAATCTTGAAATATTACTAATAATATAAATTAATTCTTACAATTTCTTCATGTACCATGATCTAAAGGTGGACATCGATGCAATCACACTAAAAGGCCTTTTACTAACAATCAGAGGGCAGAAGGAATAGGTGATTGTATAAAACAGGATTTTTTTTTAGCAAATTGAATCATGTTGACAATTTAATACAGTATAATATATACTGTTTATTTATATGGATAATGATCCAAATGGGCACAAATCTCATTTTGTTGTCTCTTACTATTTTCAGAGTTTAAAAAGCCAACCAACACATAACTAGTGAGCACAGTGAGGCCCAGCCTGCCTAACTGTCTTAACTATTTAGAGCGTTGGCACGATATTGTCAGGACTCATGCCAATGGAGCCCTCAAGTGGTGGGTATTGGTTCGTGCCACATTTTAATGCATGAACAACAACTGCCTGTTGAAGGTTCTTTCAAAATGTAAGCACTTAGACTACTGTTGTTTTCTAGACCCAAACACTTTCATTGTAAGTGTATAACTGCAGATGCATGTTTTGGTTTGTGAGGGTTTGAATCTTAGTCTGACATTTCTCATATGAAAACCTGTCTTACCTATCAGTGAAGAGCCTTATGTTGGTATTTTACAACATTCAACGGTACAAAATGTCCAACATAATGATGCAGCCAGTCCTTTGCATAACAATCCAGAGATAACATCCTCCATAATCAAAAAGCCTTTGTGAAATTTGCTCCTGCAGATAAAGGCTATAAATATAGCTCTGTTAAAATTCATTGGTTTTGTCTTATATATATATATATATATATATATATGTTTTAATCAGGCACCACATCAAGTATTGATGCTACTTTCAAATTTGCTTTATTCTAGATGTTTTCCACATAATTTACATAATTATACAGAATACTCTATTTCACAATGTATTATTCATAGACACAGCTGACATTAAATAAAGCAGCAAGCCAACATTAAATTCTAAGTATAGTTTTCTGAAATTATAGACATTACATCAACACATGTTTGCATATTAGTTTACCATGCATATCACACAATGGAAAAATGCATATCATAATGGACTCACAATTTATCACCAATATGAATAAACATGTCAGTACTTTGCCATTAATTATGTCTGAACGGAACCCGATTTTATTTTCACAAATATAAATTATTTCAGCCAAACTGAACTTGAGAAATAAACGAATTCAGTCTCTGATGAGCAAAGAGCTCTTGTTTTACTGTTTCACTGATCTCTTCTTTCTGTGTTCAGTCCTTCTCTACTATCAGAAATTGCCGTTTCCCTGCTACTCAAGTCCTGTATATTCAGCATTGTCAACTCCCCCAGTTCCATCTCACTGTCTTCCGGTGGAGGGGACGCAAAATCCCCTTCGACATTCTCCATGTCCTCTTCTGGCTTAAGCCCTATAGTGTCAGGGATGATCTCCACCTCGATATCTGAAGAATCCTCGCTCTCCTTGAACCAAACGGTCTTGTGTCTGTCGTCCTTCCTCCTCTCTTTAGCCAGAATGGATTTTACTTTATGCTTATTCGCCTTTCCTCTGGTTTGGACGGCAGGACTATGGTGTGAATGGTTGGTATGTGTCTGGAGTCCACAGGAGCTGCAGTGCCTCTGTCTCTCGCGAGGTATCACTCGCACCCTCGCTGCTTGAACTGCATCCAGTCTCCTTTCTCTCAGTTCAGCTCGCCTGGATCTGGATCTCCCTGTGTCCCCTTCATTCAAGAAACCATTATTGGTGAACTGCATGCTATCTAACTTGGCCTGTTAGGGGGCTGAGTAAACTTCAAGCATGGCCCTAAACACTGAATGAGGGCAGAGGGTTAATCTCACAATTTCATGAGCTGTATTTTACCTGCTGTAGTACATGATTACGGCGTTCTTATGGAACTTTCTCTTAAGCGTCATTTCTTTTACAAAGTGGACACTCAGAGCTGGACTCACTGAGCTTTGATGAGAAGATGCTGACCTCTGACTTGAATGCATCAGGATTCCCCTTCTTGACACGGGATATCAGATAGCCAATCACAATGAGGCAGAGCACCAGTAACGCAGCCATTACAAAGCCCAGCAAAGCCATGTCTCCTGCATGGTACCCCTCGTCGGGCGACTGGACCCCCACTGCTGATATGGCAGGTATAAATAGAAAATTAGACAGGCAACATGCTGAAAAAAATATTAGAACCTTAAAGGATTAGTTTACTTACAGAATAAAAATTTCCTGATAATTTACTCACTCCCATGTCATCCAAGGTGCAGAAATTAATTCCAGGATTTTTCCCATATAGTGGACTTCAATGGGACTCAACGGGTTGAAGTTCCAAATTGCAGTTTCAGTGCAGCTTCAAAGGGCTCTACACGTTTCCAGCCGAGGAATAAGGGTCTTATCTTGTGAAATGATCGGCCATTTTTTTAAAGGGCGTTTGATTTTCTTTGCATGCTCACTTTGTAAACACTGGGTCGGTACTTCCGCCTACATCACACGTGACCTTTCCAACGTGACTATGTAATGCGTGAAGTCGAGCTAGTGTAAGACGAGCATTTGTGGTTAAAAAGTATATCAATTTTTATTTTTCATTTTTTAGAAAATGGCAGATCATTTGGCTTGATAACACCCTAATTCCTCGGCTGGGATCGTGTAGAGCCCTTTGAAGCTGCATTGAAACTTCAATTTGGACCTTCAAACCATTGGCTCCCATTCTCCCACTATATGGAGAAAAGGCCTGGAATGTTTTCCTCAAAAACCTTAATTTCTTTTTGACTGAGAAAATATACAAATGAACATCTTGGATGACATGGGAGTGAGTAAATTATCAGGAAATTTTTATTCTGAAAGTGAACTAATCCTTTAACACTTAAACAAGGGGTGTTTAATCCTGCTCCTGAAAGGCCACCTTCCAGCAAAGTTTAGCTCTAGCCCCAGCTAATCACACCTGAACCAGCTCATCAAGGTCTTCAGGATCACTAGAAACCTCCAGGCCAGTGTGTTGGAGCTGGTTGGAGCTAAACTCTGCAGGAAAGTGGCCCTCCAGAAGAAGAATTGGACACCCCTGGGTTAAACTGTATAGGAAACTTTTTTGTAGTATAACTTACATGGTACTACAATCACAGAGAGAGTAGTTGTTCCTGCCTCACCAGTAGACACATCCACTGCCCGAAGCTGATGACAAAATAAATAATTTTCAGTCACATTTGTTAAGTGGCCTTACAGTTACAATGCATTTAACCATTTGATACAATATACTTATGTACATATATGCTTGTGCATTTGAAGTACTTAAATTAACATTTGTAGTTACGCTGTTAGTATTACCCCTAACCATAACACAAACCTTACCCAAAAAGAACTCTAACCCCTATAATCTTAACCCTAACCCTTACTCCTAAACCTAACCATACCCAATTAGCAGTAGATGTGGGAATTTTCCAGAACAACATGAATGGAGTTATACAGTAAATCCATAGTCTTGTAGACATTGAATGTTGGTATCTAGTAGTGAAGGCTACCTAATATAAAGTGTGACTGAATTTTCAAATTCAGACTTAGGTTTTGAAGATTTTAGCCTTAAGACTGACAGCAGTGTCTTCAGTAACAAAATCTCTTGGACCTACTTTATATTATGTGTTTTTAACTGCTATATACAAACTTTTAAATAAGAATTCAATACAATGCACTTACTGTGTACATACTTACATTGTACTTTTAATTGTTTCAATACCAACACGCAAATAACTATATCTGTAATTAATTTCTGTAGTTACACTAAAATTATTTTTACCTATTAACCCACCCTTAAACCTACCCATACAGAAAAAAACTATTTCAGTCTCTCCACTTAGAAATGTTATGTTTTATTCAATATGTTACTTGCTGTTTCTTTGTAATTATTTGTGAAATTTACTTTATAGTTTCTGAATGATAATTGTTTAAAAGAATGTTGTGAACCATTTTTAAGTGTAATAAGATGCCCATATAAAGTGAGACGTATTTAAAAAAAAAAAACAAACAAACTGATGTGACAGGATAAAATAAGTAACAAAAGCTTTGGTAAATGCTGTGGCTGCAATGAACAACAGGATTGTTTGACAATCATTTATCATACTCGGTAGCTCTGCCTTCACTCAAATCTCATAGATCCAAAATCCCTCTACATCTTTATATTAAGCATAAAATATGTGATATGCGTTTCTTATTGTGCAGTACTTCTTTTTTTTTTGGACAGATTACTTGCTGGAAACTTGCTCAAATCCAGTGCTTTGTCAGGTTAGGACACAAGTAGAATCATAAATGAAGACCATGAAATTAATGGTAAAAGTAGACAGATTCCATGTGCAAACAATTATTATCAACTACGATGTGGTTAAAACATCTCGGGCATCTCCGGGGGTCTTCTCGGCGAGAAGAACACCACTCGATGAACAGGTTCCAATTCAAGGTGTAAGCGTGTCTCGTAGACAGTGCTCTTGCCGAAGTGGTGTCAACTACCTCCTGGGGTAGGTCACCTAGAACCTCCGCGTCCAGGGACCAGACATGAAGGTCACAGGGTGCCCCGTCTCTGAGTCAGTAGATCCTTCCTCAGAGGAATCTGCCAGGGAGGAGCTGGCATGAGGAGCATTAGTTCCGGGAGCATAGACCACTTTGTCGGTTGATGTACGCAACGGTCGCAGTGTTATCCGTGTGGACCCGCACGTGCTTGCCTCGTAAGCACCCTCTGAGACGGTTCAAGGCAAGGCGTACTGCTAACAACTCTAGGTGGCTGATGTGCGAGTGCAGTTGAGAGCCCGTCCAAACCCCCGACACTGCGTGCGCATTCTACGTGGCCCCCCAGCCAGTGGTGGAGGCATCTGTGTAAACCACAGCATGCCTGGAGACCTGTTCCAGGGGCACTCCTGCCAGGAGAAACGCAAGGACTGACCACGTGGTGAAGGTTTGGCGGCAGGCCGGTGTGACTTGGACCCGGTGAGTGCCGCGTAGCCACGCCAACCTCAGGACTCGGCCATGGAGCCAGTGTTGAAGCGGTCTCATATGAAGCAGCCCCAGCAGCGTGACTGCCGCTGGAGCTGCCACATGTCCCAGGAGCCTCTGAAACTGTTTCAGTGGGACCGCCGTCCTGCTCTGACCTGAAGGACCAACCGGCTGAGGTGCGAGAGCACCAAGTCCCTGTGTTCGCACAACTGATCCTGAGACTGAGCTAGTATGAGCCAGTCGTCGAGGTAGTTGAGAATGCGAATGCCCTGTTCTCTCAGGGGAACAAGGGCTGCCTCCACAACTTTCGTGAAGATACGGGGCGACAGGGACAGCCCGGAGGGCAGGATCTTGTACTGATATGCTCGTCCTTCGAATGCGAACTGCAGCAATGGTCTGTGGTGCGTAAGGATCGACACATAAAAGTACGCGTCCTTCAGGTCGATCGCTGCAAACCAATCTCGGGGATGGATGCACCCGAAGATGCGTTTCTGCGTCAACATCTTGAAAGGTAACCGGTGAAGGGCCCGTTTCAAGACATGCAGGTACAAGACCGGTCGTAACCCACCGCCTTTCTTGGGTAAAATGAAGTAGGGGCTGTAAAACCCCGTCTTCATATCGGCTGGAGGGACCGGCTCTATCGCGTCCTTCGCCAGTAGGACTGCGATCTCCGCACGCAAGACAGGAGCATCTGCCGTCTTCACTGATGTGAAGCGGATGCCGCTGAACTTGGGGGGATGCCGGGTGAGCTGAATCGCATAGCCGAGTCTGATGGTCCGCAGGAACCAGCGAGACGTTCGGGTAGCCAGGCACCCAGACACCGTACAAGCTGGACCAGAGGGACCACCGACGTACCCGCGGTAGGGCAGCGAGGTGGAACGCAGGGACCCAATCCGTTGGGTGGACCGAAGAGGGCCGAACCGCCCGCTACTGCCTGCTGGTGAGAGAGGAGGATGAGTGTGGTCCGGGTTTGGTCCGTCCGTGACTCGCCATGCCCTCTTGTGACCCAGAGACAGAGAAAACTGCTCTCTTGTCGAGATTTTTGGAAACCAGACTCTCCACCCGGCCCTCCTTCGGGGGAGGGAGAGGTGCATTCACCATCCCCAAAAGAGCAGTTCCCTCTCTCTCTGGGTCGCCCGTACCATGGCCTCTTGCTCTTCCGCTCACCGCCAGGTTTGACGGGGGCCTGGACGGGCGGGGCGGCCTGCCTACGCCCAGCTCCATGGCGCCTCTTGCTCGAGGCTGCTGCGGATGCGGCGCGGGAGTGGGGGTGGACGCAGGGGGCCGCTCTCAGAGATGAGTAGGCTGGGGCACTGCGGCCGGCGGACGGGTGGAGGCAGCAGCTGCCCGCCAGGGCAGGACATGTCGGATCACCTCAGTCTGCTCCTGTGCAGCCGAAAACTGCTGGGCCACGTTCTCGACTGCGTCGCCGAAGAGGCCAGTCTGGGACACAGGAACCTTGAAGAACCGAACTTGTCGGCGTCCCTCATGTCGGCCAGACACAGCCAGAGATGGCGCTCCTGGACCACAAATGTGGACATCACTGCGCATCTCCAAGCAAACACAGCGGTGTCTCGTTTATGAATGAACTACGTTTTTAAACGAATCTTGTGAGTCAGTGATTCATGATTACCCATTCATAAATACTGTCCATTGCTTCATTCCTGAATGAATCAGCCATTCGAATGAATCAATTGAATGAATGATTCAGTGATAAAATCAGTGACTTGTCGCCACCTGCTGGCAGTTTTAGTTTAATTTTTAAAGTATATGTTCAGTTCTTTAAATCATTTAATATTTCTATATTCAACATTTTTTAAAACATTAATCTTAACATGAATTTATGGATTTAATTGCACTCATGCCACCTCTGATCCTCATTAAATGTCTGAAAATACACCTACAAGACACTTTTGTGCTCGTCTGTGCTACCGCTGTACAAATTAATTTTAATACTGATTTCATTTGATTAGTAACTTATTCTTCTTATTCTACTTGTTCTTATTCTGTGGTTTTAATAAGAATTTTTAAAAAGCTTATAAAATAAATTGTTTTAAAAATTTGACATAAAAGATTACATACTTTTAATAAAGTTAGAAAAATGCCATTACAAAGGTAAAAACAAAATTCCACTGTAAATCACTTTAAGGAGTCAAATATCACCTCGTAATGGGAAGGCAAATTTTTGATCAAATTTTGGATTATTGATTAGAAGGTGCTCCTAAATTTTTGACTGTGCTCCTACATTTTTTAAGTTAGGAGCACAAGTGCTCCTAAAAAAAAAAAAAGAAGCGTAGAGCCCTGCTTTAGCCTGAAGAACCTGCAGTAACACCGTAGAGTGTATGGCGGAGGCAGCTTCTCCACAGGCCACATAAGCATCGCCGGACAGACCAGACGAGTACCTACAGACCCGGGAGGGGAGGCACGGTTTGCCCTGCTGGGTGGAGGCGGTATCAGGACACAACTGCATCGCTACCGACCGCTCCACCAGGGCGACCCCCGTATACCCCCTAGCTGCACCACTGTCGAGAGTGGTGAGGGAGGAGCTAGCAGGTCGGTTTCCGGCAGAAAAAGGTGCCTTCCATGACCTGGTAAGCCCCCTCATGCACCTCTGGGAAGAATGGCACCGGGGTGGGGTGCTGAGAACCAGCACGGGCCACCCCGAAGAACCAACCGTCCAACCTTGAGGGCTCGGGACACGGTGGAGATTTCCACTCGAGCCCTACCCTCACGGTGGCCCGGGAAAGCATAGCCGTCATTTCCGGATCCGATTCAGGCATTGCTACAGTCCCAGAAGGCAGCAGCGCAGCAGAATCTTCCTCAGCAGAAAGCTCCGTCTCACACTCCGATGCAGTGATCGACATCCGATCGTCGGGAGGACCGCGGAAGGATGCTGCTGCTACGCTCCTTGTAGTGGGCGCAACACGTTCCTTTGGCAGCTCAACTGGTTGCGGAGGGCAAGAGGAGCGATGGTCCCCCGAGGGTTGGTTGCCTGGAGGGTTTGCCATCACTGTTACCCTCAGACCCCACCTCAGCGTGCTTAATGCCCAGACACGTGAGGCAGCGATCGTCACCATCATCCGACACCAGCTAACGACCACATCCAGAAACGCACGGGTGATACGTTGTCTGTAGCAAGATGCAACGTCATCTTTACAAAGTCGCAACGTTGAGTTTGCCAGACGCAACAGCGTCTTTAAAAAGACGCAATGTCAAGTTTACCAGAAGACGCACCCGTGAATGCTCTTTTAGGGAAAAAGGTCTTTCAGCGTGCTGAAGCGCACAGGGGAGATGACCACCTGCAACACAAACATGGGGTAGTGCAGCCTGATGTGTGCAACCCACTCGACACGGGAAACCACCACCGCTGAAGTGCCGTACCGCCAACACCAAGAGCTCCAAAGAGCGTGCTGAACTCGTTCAGTCTTCTTCTCTCAGTAGAGTAGTCAGGAGCAAAACGATGTGATCGCTCGGCTCCGAAGCGAAAAGCTGGTATGCGTTGCACCGGTTGCCTTTTTATGCTCACGCTGTGATCAGCGGCAGCTGGATGCAATCATCGCATGCCAATGTGCATTGGCTCGTTTAGTTTACACTCAAAGTGGATTGGTCTCTCTAAGCGAGATCCCAATTCGTCGGTCACCGACGTGACGTCGAGAGTGACCAACTGAAAGGGAATGTTCTCAAAATAGATGCAACAAAACATATTTACTTGCCTGCACAGCAAAGGAATCAGTCCGAACGGCTTTCTTCAAAAGTATAAACCCATCTGTTGTGATATTAACATAGCTGCTATATTGCACTTCATATCTTATGTCAGGATTGATTCCCTGAAAAATAAAGGGAGAAACTGGCAACCTCTTATTGTTCCTTGAACAATCTCTTTGTTGGTTCTGGAATAAAAAAACATTTCTCTCAAACAAATATTATCCCCAAATCTAACCATTAACTAGCTTTAAAATTAGAGGGGAGTGATAAGTTGGTATGAATGTTGCTTAAGCCCCAACCCCAGTCCTAACATCAACCCTAAACCTAAAAACCTTTCCAAAACCATCAAGGATGTTGCTCTAGGGTCACACGGGTAAATCACAATGTGTAAATCACAACTACAATGTCTGCATATACTGTAATTTAAAAGTAAATCACTAACTGATGATATTAAATGACGTTTTAAAACTTACACTTGCAAAATCTTCATCCCTTGCTCTGACTCTGATGGGTCTGTTGGATGTCCTGTCCCTTAGCACCATGTTTTCAGGCCCTGAAGTACTGTAAACATACCCTTCATATCGGTCCTTCTCAAACCTGGGAGCATTTCTGCTCTTTTTCATTACATCAATAGTCACTGAAGTGGTGGCAAACTGATCTCTATTTAATACCTGGGAAGCCTGGGAAGGACAGATAAAGGAAGGTTGCTATTATCAGAATTAAGCAGTGAAAATTGTATTTGCTCTCAGGTCCAACCTGATATCATGAAGATGCATATGTCACAAAACTTCTCAAAGTCTTTATAATATGCACAAGAAACTCACCAAAACTAAGAGTGATATTGGGCCAGCTATATCTGCTGGTTTCAGCATGGATATGTTTCCAGATTTCTCATCAATCTGAAATATGTTGTCGTCATTTCCTAGGCAATTACAGAAATGATTGTGCAGTTCATGTTGAACATTGAGTGTGTAGGAGCAGCAGTTATGTGAGGAAAAATGCTTTAATACCTCGAACAATTTTATAGCTTATCTCTTCATTTCTGCTTTTATCTCCATCTCTGGCATACACTGGACCTGGCTGCAATTGCAAGGCCCCATCCTGGAAATATCAATTTAGTATGTATAATTTCAAAACACACCATTGCATTTATTAAAAGAATAGTTCACCACAAAATTAAAATTTGCTTAAAATTTTCTCAGACCCTCAGGCCATCCAAGACTTGAATGAGTTTGTTTGTTCGTGAGAACAGATTTGGAGATATTTAGCATTATGTCACTTGCTCACCAATGGAATGGGTGCAGTGAATGGGTGCCGTCAGAATGAGAGTTCAAACAGCTGATAAAAACATCACAATGACCCACAAGACTTCAGCCCATCAGTTTTGAAGCAATTGCTGCAATGCTGCCTGTTTATAAGAAGCACATCCGTGTTTTAACTTTAAACTGTCTCTTACAGTATGGCCATATTATTAGTCCTTTGCATATTTCTCCCCTGATTCAGACTGGATTTAAACTGGAGAAAGCAATATTATGGATAGAGGACTCATATTTTAGCCCAAAGCAATGACAAAAACGTTGTAATTATAGATTTATGATAAACATGAAGCTTTTCACTTTACAAAATGTGAATTGATGAACTGGAGTTCGTTGATTACTTTGTGATGTTTTTATCAGCTGTTTGGAATCTCTTTCTGATGGCACCCATTCACTGCAGAGGATCCACTGGTTGGCAAGTGATGTACTGCTAAATTTCTTCTAATCTGTTCTGACAAAGAAACAAACTCATCTGCATCTTGGATGGCCTAAGGGTAAGCAAATATTCAGCCAATTTTAATTTTTGGGCGAACTATTTCTATGGTCATAATATGAATGAAAATGTACCTGTTTCTCTGTTAGGTTCACCCTGCCCTTGTAGCCCAGGCTCAGGCAGAGTTTGGCATTACCAATGCTTACTCTTGTACATGGTTGAAACCAGGGAGGACGGTTATCAATGTCTATAATATTGATGATGATGGTTGCTGAAGCTGTGAAAGAGAGTTCACCCAGTTGTGATGGAGGTAGAGTATCCTGTTAGAGTCAAGAATTGTTTGTGTTTTACGTCAGATCAGGAGAGAATTTCTGAAATTATCACATTCAAATGAAACAGTACAATTTTTACATACCTGCACATACAAGATCAGTTTCACCTGTTGGATGACATCGTAGTCTAAAATCTTGTTCACAAGGATGCTTGGTGTGTACATGGTCTCAAGTCTGAAGTATGTATTCTGTAAAGAAATAGTTAAAGGAATAGTTCAAGCAAATATGCAAACAATGTCATTTACTCATACTTTTTCAAACCAATAGCTCTAAATTCTCACAGTTTATTTGATTTCAGTCATTTTATTGAAAGTCCATTCACTTAAAACGTTGATGATTCAAAAAATTAATATAGATTTTATCCATGTGAATTGAGTGGTTTAATCCAAGACTTCTGACGAGACAAGGCTGCAACTTGCAAGCATGCTTGTTTGAGCTTGCATTTGTCATATTTGATGTGTTCTATGTGTGTTGATTAATGTTTATATCTGAATAAAAGCCTAAATTATTCACCTTATATGTTCATCATAAAAAGGGATTGTGTCTATTCAAAAGACATGGACTAAACCATTACATTCATATGGATTATGTTTACTATGTCTTTATGAACTTTTTGAAGCACTTACCCAAGATGAAGTTTTGGATAAATACCTTTCAATGCAAGGACATGAACTTCTCAGATTTCATAAAAATTATTTTAGTTTGTCTTTTTGAAGATGAGCAAAATATTATGGATTTGGAACAACGTGAGGGTAAGAAACTGATGACTGAATTTTCATTTCTGGGTGAACTTTCCCATTCATTCTCAGTCAGATCTTCACAAAAAGCTTGTACTTGTAACAGCACAGTTGTCATGTTTATGATGCTATTACATTATTTTTTTTTCCTTTTTGGAGTTTCACAGCGTCTGACCCCTGGTAGTTTAATTGTATGAAAAAAGCAGCTTGAACTTTCTGCTTATCTTCTCTTGTTGTGGTCTACAGGAAAAGCTCATATGGGTTTGGAATAACAGGAGGATGAGAGAATGATGACTGACTTATTTTGGGGTAAACAATTCCTGAAGTAACTGAAATGATCTTCTCATTAGAGAAAAGGAATTGATTACTTACCACAGCTGGTTCCATAGAATAATACAGAACCTCAGAATCATCATCTATTGCTTCAATCAGGGCAATGCTGCTATTAACTGGTGTAAGCTGTGCAATACACACACAAAATGCAACATTAGAATGGCATTAGAATGGACTGGAATGGCAGCATCCTCACTTCGACAGTAGATTTAAAAAATGATGAGCAAGTTGTCTGACTTCACTTACTATGTATGTAATCGTGATTTTGCCAAGAAGAACATGTACCTGAATCAACAATTATTTAAAATGTTGAATCTCACCTCATTTATTTCAAGTGTATACTCGCTCTTGTCAAATGATGGAGGGTTGTCATTGATATTCACAACACGAACAATCACAGTCAGAGTGATCTGTAGATAAAATGTACAAATAAATATGAAAAATATGAAAAATAAATAAATAAATAAAAAACTACTATTAATCCTCGATATAACAGTGACCCCCAAACAGACTGGGACATTGGATGTCATTACATTAGAAAACATTATCAAGTGGCATCTCCAAACAAATGATAAATGCTAGAGCTTATCTCACACCAGTCTAGACTTTCTGAGCCATTCTTACAATTACTTTTAATCAGATGGTTTCAGATTTAATAAGATGGAATTTTAGTGAATATATGAAGTCCATTTCCCTCAAGTTCACTCAGGTGTCCTAATGCAGCAACCACAGATGTAGTTCATCATTGAAAATCATGTGGTGAATTATTTATTTTTATATTTATTGATTGATTGTCTTCATCCTGTGCAGTATTTACATTATTTTGTCAATTAAAAACTTTAACATGTATTTTTGTGAAATGTTTTGTTTAAAAAGTGTGTTTGTGCTATCTTTCTCTCAAATGACACATGGGTTCATATTTGATCTAATACTAAGACTTTTTTGCTTTGCATTCATCATTGTAATTGTAGTTCTGAGTAACTTACACTTCTGTAGCCAGTTTTATTACATCGGATCTGGACAGTTAGTTCTTCGGGACCTGAAAGTGTCTGGAAAACAGTTTAATATCAGCTGAAGTTAGGATTAAACGTTTGTGATCTTTTTCATGACTAGTCCAGTGTTAAACCAAGTCAAGTTAAACCAAAGTCAAATCAGTTTAAGATGGTCAAGCTGGTATTTGGAAGATGGTAGCTGGGTTGTTGCCAGTCCAGTTTGTTCTACCACCATGTTTAAACCAGGTCCAGTGTCTGGTAGTGTGGCTGATTAACTAAATCAACTTTGATCAGTCAGATACTGACCATGAATGACCAGCTAGAAACCATGTAAACATAACTACCATCTGAAGCTGGTTTTAGCTGGATTTTCTAACAGTGTCATCATAGTCTTGTTACTCAAATTGGCACAAGAAAATGGAAAGTCATGAAATAAACATACTTCAAAGTCCAGGCCTTTCTTTGCTATCAATTCTGAACCTCTCAGATTGAAGGCATTCCCAGGATTCTCTGTGAGATTCAGCGTTACATCCTTTGTTGTTGTGTTAATATGAACAACGACTGTGTCAGCGGTGTTATTCTCTTTAATTGTTACAGGCTCTGAGGGGACGGTACAAACTGTGGAAAGAAAACAAATATTACCGTTCTTACCATATTATAGCAGATATAACAAAAATGTGTTTTGTCATATAATACAAATATTTTTGTAGAAATTCATATTTTACAGTTAATGCATTAATACGATATCTTTGTTGTCTGTATTTGTAAATGTGTATGCACAGATACTGTATGTGATACTCAATTTTAGCATGTCTGAATCTGATTCTAATATGTTAATGTTTTAAAATAAATTAAACTGACTATTTTAATTTGCATTTATTTATTTTAGAATTGTGTGAACATATATCAATATTTTAAAGTCATAATGCTGTTTTTGAAATTGTACTAAGCAGTTTTCATAGCACATTAAAGTTTTTGAGGGGCAGTTCATTTTCTGTGATGTAGGAAAGCATTTTGAACAACTAGATATACTGTATTTTGAAGCTCTACATTCCGGCCGACTGTAGACAATGAACAGACATGGCGTCTTTTTATTTCCACTGACTGAGCTGAAATTATTTGCATCATAAAAAATACCCACAGAGAGAGACTGACACATGTCGTACCCACACAATAGCGTTGCTGACAATAGTTTAGCAGATCTAAAAACTGAAACAAGAGTTACTTACTTTTCTCAGCAAAGCAGATTTTGTAAAACAATAATGCAAATAAACAGCCAAAGATGGTAGTTATGGATTTACGCTTAAATATCATGTCCATTTCCCAGTTTCTGATGCACACAAATAAGTATGGAGGACTATGAGACCGTGGCACCAGCTGGTACTTCTTCAGATAAAGCATTGACTGTGCTGACCGATGAGTGGGAGTTGACTCCAGTCGCAATGTTTGTGACTTCATCTTACGGTCATATATTGCTTAAAGAGCTTGCCAGCAGTGGACTGCTCCCTCCCACCCAAATACTTGCATCTGTTTTTCAGGGGTCATTTTGTATTAGTGGAAGCACTGCGGGATGGGAGGCTGTGAGAAATCTGATAATGTGAAATATGTTAACATTACTTTGTCAGTCTAACCAGATGAATAAATGAAAACTTTATGCAGCACTGGATTAATTAAAAGTGAAATTACAAAATAAATGTGGTGAGAGAAAAAAAAAAAGTTATATTAATAATAATTAGGTAATCTGTCACTACTTGAATCCTTGATCAGTGCTTTAGTTGTTTTATACTAATAAGGAGATACCAACCAAATATTTAGACACAGTTACTGTATTGCAGCTGTTCAAACAGCTGTTCCAAATGTTAGAATAATAATAAAGTTATGAAAACTACAGTATGAGATTAAAAAAAATCCTGGGATCTGTATCTAGTATTGAAGGAATTTAGACGCAATTCATATTTGTCTATGAATTTCAAGTATATTTTATGATAAGCATTATTTTCAAAAGTTATTATTTATTAATACTGATTCTTATTATTATCAAAGTTGAAAACGTTTTTTTTCTGCTTAACCTTTTTTTGGAAACCATGAAATGGTGAGCATAAGATACTTCTAAAAACTTCATAAAAAAGAGACAAGAATGAATGAATGGACTGACTGACTGACTGACTGAATTAATTAATTAATTAATGATTAACCCTTGTGCGGTCTTTGGTCACCTCTGACCGGAGAATATTACATTTTGAATTTTAAAAAATCGTAGCTTCACCAGAATGGTATGAAACTTGATGACTTTTATGGCACTTGGTATGTGAACACAAAAAAAACTAAATTGAGGGCATGATTCGAAAAAGCTAAGTGGTCGTCACACTCATGGTCTTCGGTCAAAAATGACCGACCATAGGAAATGAATGTGAAATGGGGAAAAAAATCGAAAATACCGAAAATTTTTGTGTGTACAATCTACAGATCCCCCACAATGCAGAAAAAAATTACACAGCAATGAAGGGGTGAAACTCTAAACATCTAGAGTGCAAAATCAACAAACCAACTCACACACGCGTGGACACACACTTGTACACAAACCTATGAACTGGTTCGACTGTAACACTGCAACTATATAAAATAAAATCAATAATTCAACTACAATGCAGTATAAAAGTGGACAGCAAGGAAGGGGTTACACGCTAAAACATTAGGAGTGTAAAACAGATACATCCACTCACACACACTTACTTACACACACTCCCAGACACACACATACAGAATTACACATACTCAAATGAATTGGTATAACTATAACCATATAGTCAAAATGAGTCAGAAGACTGAAATAAGACGTTAAAATCAGATCAGACCCAGAAGGTTTAAGTTCTGATAAAGCATTCCTGTTCATTTTTGTTACATTTTTATAGAATTTTAATGTTTTGTGTAACAAAAAGCTTTCTGTGTTCAGGTTTGAATGTAGTAATAATAATGCAAAAACCTACATTTCAGATCAACATTTAAAACAACAAAAAATATAAACTTTGACACTTTGACAAAAAGTAGTCTTTGAGAATGCCTTAATATACATTTAAATCCACAACCTAATAAAAGTAAACAATTATATATAAAAACAACTAGGGAATTTATAAGCCTCTCTATAGAGTCCTATACAGGAATCTAGTGGTTACACCATGAAATTACAGTTTTTTATTTTATTTATTTTTTTGCTCTCACTAGGAGGTGCTATTCTGCCTTCAAAAAATGGATTTTAAAGGCCTACAGTAGTCTCCATTTTAATCTGAAATGCTGCATTAATTGAAAAATAATTTGAAAAAAATTTGAAAAAGAAATTGTACTATTTTCAATGTGAAAAATGTATCATAATTATTGCATAGATATTAATTAGTACCATAACATTCTCTCAAAATAGAAAAGAAAAACATTGAACAAAAATATATTAGATTGATTTTACTGAAGAAGAAAAAAAGTTACATTTCAGGCGAAGACCATGAGTGTGACTCCCAAATGAGGAGCAGATAAGGGTTAAATGAATGAATGAATTAATAATCTTACTTATTCCAAACTTTGGACTGGAAGTGTAGATCATATTTTATGAATAGGAGACAACTACCATAGATCAGTACTCTTATTAATTTTCTGCATTACACATTTAAATGTTTTAATTTCATATTCTATGATGTGTGAAAGTACTGGCCAGGCTGTCTTCTCAAGACTTATGTAATAATGTGTGCCACTGATCAGCTCTGACCAAGTCTGAGAGTGAGAGCAAGAACACACCCGCTTTATGCAGTGTGCTATTTATTTTAGCATATTTGTTGATAGAACTTAATTTCCTTCAAAATATTTTCCTCCCTCTCAGCCAATCAGATCTCTTCTCCGCCACACGCGACCGTGACATCAGCTGGTATAATACATGTTTGGAGACAAACAAGAAGAAGCCCCTCTTACACCCCACTGCTTCTCTGTGTGGGAATAACGGGAACACAGTGTCACATGAAGCAGACACATTGTGCAGCCATGTAGATGTGTGTTGTTGTCATAGATTCATGGAGCAGGCCTTGAACAGCTGAGCTGTAGGCTGCATTGTTGTGTAAGGTTTTTGAAATAAATACCGGCCAATATAATGCTTCTTTCAAAACAATTCCACCCTCTTTCTACTTTATAAAAGATATGGTGACTGAGATATAAAAATAACAAATACTTCAAATAAAAAAAAAAAGTGTGAGAAAAAAAATAATTACTGAAAAGAGTTAAAGGCTGCAAAGTTTATGTGCAGTTAAAGATAAGTTTAGGGTTCAGTGTTTTGAGATAGATATACATTTTAAGAACAGTGCTACAAAATATAGTATGCAGTAATAGAGAAGTTTGCCTTTGCGTTTTTGAACAAAACCCCATAAAGACAGTGGTCCTTTGATTCATTCATGAATGAATCAGCGGGTTTGAACAAATTAGTTGAATGAAAGATTCTATGATTCACTTATTAAGACTTGCCACCGCCTACTATTAAGACTTACCTGTAGTTTCATCATAATATAATTTCATTTCTCGCTACATTTCATTTTTTTATATTCAAAATGTTATATATAAAACTTCAAATCACATAACATTTATGCACTTGTAATGGTAATCAATTGTTAATTAGATAATTGTGTTAATAGTGTGTTAAAGTGCCCCATTATGGATTTTTGAAAATTACCTTTCATGCAGTGTGTAACACAGCTCTAAGTGAATGAAAACATCCTGCAGTTTTAAATCTGAAAGTGCACCTTGTATAAAGTAATAGTCTCTCAAAAGAAAGCGTGACTCTGAATCATTGAAACGAGTCGTTTTTAAAATGAATCCCAAGCCGTTTCATGTTGAGTTATTGTGTCTCAAAAGAAAGAGTCGACTCTGAATAACTGAAACGAGTCTTTTTTAAAATGAATCCCAAGCCGTTTCATGTTGACGTCAACATGAAACGTCTCAGGTTACGCATGTAACCATGGTTCCCTGAGAACAAGGAACGAGACGCTGCGTCCTCTAGAGGGCGCTAGGGGAACGCCTTCGGTGTGACCGGTGTCTGAAGCATGAATGAAAAAACGACAATGCACTTGACATTTGGCATGCGGCAGCCTATGACGTAAGCAATAAAGCGAGTGCGGGTATGAAAGCGCACCTGGGGAAAACGTCATCCACTTCTTTGTCTGAAGGAGACGCAGGCAGGAATGACCGAAGCATGGCAATGAGACGCAGCATCTCGTTCCCTGTTCTCAGGGAACCATGGTTACATACGTAACCTCTCTCTAGAATGAGAGGAGACCTGGCTACACTCAATGCCAGGGACAGTTAGTGAGGCTCAAGAGCCTACACATTAATACTGCCTAAGCGGAGCTATGCAAAGTGGAGGCTTCAGCAGAATGACTCTCTTAAACGAGAGGAAGCCTAACAACACTCAGCCCTAGTAGAGAAGCTCCTAAGAGTGGAGATCTCAGCATGACGACCCTCTAAAACGAGAGGAGACCTGACTATACTCAGCGCTAGAGACAGTTAGCAAGGCTCACATAAGAATCTACAAAGTAATGGTACTGCCTAAGCAGAGCTCTGGAGAGCAAAGGCTTCAGCAGAATGACTCTCTTAAACGAGAGGAAGCCTAACAACACTCAACCCTGGTAGGGGGGCTCTTAAGAGTGGAGGTCTCAGCCTAACGACTCTCTAAAACGAGAGGAGACCCGAGCACACTCAGTGCTAGAGACAGTTAGCGCGGCTCACCAAAGAACCTACAAACTAATAGTACTGCCTAAGCGGAGCTCTGGAGAGCGGAGGCTTCAGCAGAATGACTC